AGCAGAGGTAGTTGGTAGGGGGGGTGACTACTACTATTACTACTACTACTACTACTACTACTACTTCTACTACTACTACTACTACTACGACGACGACGAAAGCTGACACCAACAGCATGAGTTTTTCGGTTGGAGTTCGTGACATGGTAGTTCCACTACTAAATCGCAGTAGTACCAGGTTCTGATGCGAACCTAGGCATAGTCCAGCATCTGGCAGATGCAGGGATTCAACCCAGCACCTGCGACGGTTTTGTGTTCTCCAGCCCTCGTCGAGGCCAGCGGTTGGCTACTGAAGGGGTTAGCAACGTTCAATTCCCTGTGGAAGATTTGCTTAAGGTTGGCCAAACCCATGCCCTGTGGACTTGTCTTCATCTTAGCAGAAGATGTAGCTTCCCTCGAACTCCAATTTCGACTTCGTGACGTCTCAAGTCTGTCCGGGCCTCTAGACCTGCAGAGTCTGTCTAGTTCGATAACTTCCCGATGCTGGCCACGAGAGGGCAGGTTCCTTGGAGATGTCATGGCAGGCACGGGCATTGCTTAACCTGCCTGGTTACGTCCGATGCCGATCTGTTTCTTACAGCCAAAGGTTGACAGCTAAGGTGCTCGTTGAGCCCTTCCGGAAAACGGAAGTGTAGGCTGTCGGTTCAACGCAGCGTGTCTTTTTAAAAAGAAAAGGTGGTCGGCAGCCTGGCATCATGGCGACTGGCTTCTGCTGCTTGAGCACTCTTGCCAGCCATCGCAGTGGCCAAAATGCTCGAATCATCAACTTAGCATGGCATGCTCGAACTTTCAAGCGCATTATACAGATTATGCATGTCTGACCATATGTTCTCTGACCTCTAGAGACATTAGAGACTCTGTTGTTTTATGTGTGCATGTGGCGCATATAGCGATCCAGTAGGAAGTGTTCGGTTGTATCACTGATGCGGACCACTTTGTTCCCTGGTGCATCAGAAGACTTGAAGGGCTGTTTTATGAATTCTCCACTTTAGGATCTACGTCTAGAGAATTCAGAAAGGCACTTGCAGTCAAGCTCGGGTAGTCTCTATGTACTGCAGATGACTTTCTGGCATTCACCACGGCATGGTCTTCGAAAAAGCAGCAGCCGCATGCCAAGTCATGATGTCAGCCAGGCTTGCACTGTATTTCGATCTTGCGCGAGTTGCATATCCAGACAACGAGCTTTCTCAGTGGTTTCTCTACCAACGCAAACACTGGAATTGTGGCTCCTAGTGTTGCTGGGAATTTCCCAGGCCATCGCTGGGATCAAAGCATATGGAGCGGTGACTCCAGATATCGAAGCCTGCATAGGAGGGTCTGTATTGTGAGCATGTCTCATGTCACAGAAATGTTCGCCCCATGAAGCATCGGTTTCGATGACTTGTATTTACAACGATCATCCCTCTGCGTGGCTTACGGTGAGCTGAGGCCAGGATCTTTCAAAGCAGTGGGTAAGGGGGAGACGAGTAAGCCTTACACATCGGGGACATTTAATGAGGCTGTTGCTTGCACATCACCGGTTCTCGATCCATGAACAGACCCTGAAGCGCAACAGCCTGTTAGCCTTGTCACCTTGTCTAAGCAAGTTCCCGAGAGCTCGTTGTTCACACTGCTGTTCATCAAGTTTTTTGCTTCGGTTGAACATGCATGTTGCTGGACGGTTCAGTTATCCAGTGTTCCGGAATGCAAGCAGCAACGGACAAGACTTGATCCCTAGATCCATACCTGTAGATCGAAAGACAATGGCAGAGCAGGAACCGCTGCCAACTGGTTATTGTAGTTTAAAGCGTACGAGAAGGAAACACACCGTGCCTTGGAATGCCATATACCTATACCTAGCGCGTGGCATGCATTTGCCTACGACCTACCATGAACGAGATCACCACGCAGATATGTTCAAACCTGCACTGCATGATATGATAAAGACCAGCTCATAAATACATCGTTAATTCCGCCTGGCCGCACAATGCATATTGACATTCGTGAAGCTCCATGTATACCGTACTGGGTATGTATACTCACGTTCATCCCGAGCTCAGCAGATGTGAGAACTGCAGCCAGCAGTACTCGCACAATACTGTTGAAAAGACAACACCACGAGGCTTACAGCCGGAGTAGTAGCACGATCGAGGGCAACACATGTCGGTTGAGTTGAATGCTTTTGAACCTCTACACCAGACAAACCTTATCCCTGACAATTGTGTTTTGTAAGGATGTAGGAGCTCCAAAAATAATGTATGCTGAAGTGAGGCAACATCCACCTGCCTGCCTGCCTGCCTGTTCTGTCTGTCTATGTGTGTATTTATCTATCTATCTATCTATCTATCTATCTACCTATCTATCTATTTTCGTACACAAACGCAATTGCTCAGAGTTGGTTGCGTCGATATCACTGCGTACATCCATATGCACCTCGTTTCATCCTGCCATGCATGCATGAATACATACACGCGTACATGCATATGTCCATACACACTTACATGCATACATACGCAACTACACAAACGCATGCATGCATCTCGTAATGCGTGTACGATGACATTGATGCTGGCGTGTTTGCGTCTTTACCAGCCTGTATGTTGACATAACTGAGGAGCAGTAGCTCCGATGTTCATGCTGTTGCGCGTGCTTGGGGCATCATACTTATGGTTCCTTGATGGTGTAGGCCACATGACCCGGTAGGAATACGCGTTTTGCCTGTTGGTCTTGTCGATTATTGCCGCTCGTGCGATTACGTTCATGACTGCATGCATACATGCCTAGCTACATACCTTCATACTCATGCACGCTTGCTTTTGCCGCACAAATGTATGCACGTACGGTTGGATTGGTGTGGCATGTCTAGAAAGTCTATTAATTACCCTGCCTCATGTATATCAGCCGAGCATTCAATCGATCAATCTGTCTATCAACCTATCCGTCTACATATCTGTCAACCTATCAATCCATCTATCTATTCGTCTATGTGTTTACCCATCTATCTGTCTATCTGTTTACCTATCAAGCTGTCTGTCTATCTATCTATCTATCTATCCATCTATCCATCCATCTCCCCCTACCTCCTGGCCATCTCTCTGTATATAGATATACAGGTGTACACACCGATGTATGTACGTATGTATGTATGTATGTCTGTATGTATGTGTGTGTGTGCATGTACAAAAAACCCTCGCCTGAGGTCGTCGAGAGCGAGTGCAAACTTGGATGTGTGTGTGTATATATATATATATGTCCACATGTTCATAATATGTACTTATTTACTGATGTATTGCTCTATTGCGTTGCTTGTTCATGTGTTTGTTAGTGTTTTAGTTCATGACGCCTATTTTAGGTATTTTGAACATAGTATGCAAACTCATATATGTAAACACATGTTTGTAATATACATGCATACATCGTTGTCTGCACACACGGAGAAATGGCCCTTCGT